TCCTCATCTTCGTTGCCCTCCGCTGGACTCTCTCCAGTAGTTCCTTGTCTGTCTTGAACTGGGGAGCCCAGCACTGGACCCAGCACTCCAGACGTGGCCTCACCAGGGCAGAGGAGAGGGGGAGGAGAACCTCCCTCGACCTGCTGGCCACACTCTTCCCCATGCATCCCAAGACACCATTGGCCTTCTTGGCCACGAGGGCACATTGCTGGCTCACAGGAAATTTCAATGTTTCAATCAGAGTTCAATCAGCCACATCAAAGGACTTTATTGGAAGTGATCTGCGCAAAAGATGAATCTGGCCTCTAATGTCTGAAGAAAAAACACAGGAGCAGGCAGTTCTCCATTGCAGCCCCGCTAGCTAAACCATTAGCGTCAAGTTAGCATAACAAAGATGATTTGAACTATTAGTTGTGTCTCGGGTGACAGTTTCGGGGAAGAATGACATGATTCAACTTCAGAGAGGAGCAACTCCAACAAAGTTAAAACACAACACCGCTGAGAAAAGAGAAAAGATTACAAAGCTTCCAATTTCACTTGAAACCAGCAGAAAAGAAACCTACACTTTCAACCACTTATCTAATATCAACCATGGTGTATCATTGAAGACAACATTTTTACTACTAAAAATATAATACACTAAATAGGATTATAATGGCACCTGGATGTACTGTGATTTCTTATTTCCCCATAGTACAGCTGCATCATCTAGTGGACAACAGAGAGACTGCATTAGTTTTACACTAGTTTTACACATTTTAGTTTGGGTTTCATTGAGTATCTTTGCTTTTCCACCGAATATAGCTCATCACAGTGCTTTCTAAAACTTAATTCTGAAACTACAGATATCCACTAAAACGTTCAGTGGAATTTTTTTTTCTTTCCACTCCAACCTGCAGCAGACTGATGCCACCTAAGCCTTGCTAGATATGGATAAAATCAAGTTCCTGTAGCTGAATTCAGCCACCCAGCTGTGATTTCCCTGCTTTTGTACTGAAATAATAAAAATAATGAATTTCACATGGTTCAGAGCCAACAGCTGGTCCAAACTGAGGGAAAATTTGTAAATCTTTTAACAACTTTAGTTAGTATTTATTGTGTAAAGAAACCCCTAAAATTCTGTTGAGACAATTTCCCTCTGTCTTAGAGTTCATTATCTTCATCACTGAAGTCACGGATGCACTGAGTGCAAACACACACTTCAAATTATGCCAAAGTTTGGTATTCTTTACCTTCTCGGTGGAGAGGGGCTACATACCCTGGGAGACATTTTTAAAAGCTCTTTCTTTGGGAATGTCATCTTTGAAATGTTTTCATAGCGTACCTAAAAGCTTTAATTATCAGGGTATGAGAGTTGATACTCCCTTGTCTTGTCCTGAAACAGACAGGTCTAAAGGCACTTAGCAATGATGGATGATCTCCACACATTACAGCTGAACAAAACTGTAAACTAGAAGCCGCTCTTTGTAGAAGATCAAAGAAAATCCATGCCATATTTACATGAATTGACACAGGAAAGATATTGTCATGAGGTTTCATGTTTATCATTTTTCAGTGACTCCAGACTACACTAAATCAACTCCCCCCTCAAAAAAAAAATCAAGCTGTGCTATTTCTGTCTCACGCTCTTATCACAAGACATAAAGCTTCTCTCATTGCACCTACCCAAACCCAGTGTCTTCACCACAGTCACAGAATGCATTCCTCCTTTAGCTCTCTCTCAGTAACACTGCACAAGCTGGAAGAGAATCTAGCTCACTGCCATGGTCTACACCAGGTTTGTACGGCTAACGGTAAAAAGCTGGGGTTTATTCCTACTAAGATTTGCAGATAAGATCTGAAAGGAAATCTATATAAAGAGGGAAATAAAGTATGCCTTTCCACACTAAGATCACAGCTAAATCCCTTCTTAGACTAACAGAGAGCCAGAGTCAAATGTTAACAGCACGTCACTAAAGCCAAGCGATTAAGATGTTTGCAGCCCAGAGGGGCTCTAGTTAAAGTAAAGGCTGAGAGTAAGCATCTTCACTCTTTGAAAACTTGATTTAGTGTTCTGTAAGACAGCTGGAGAGCACTCCCCGTGCAGTTACTTCCTCAGCCCAGCTTAGGATGCCCTGTCTCGCACAGAGTTTAGGATTGATTCAAAAAAGAATTTAAGCTTTTGCTGACTAGGCATATATATATATAAAAATGCTGATTCATGAGCTGTGTTACACTGGTTTATTCCTGTTAAAAATCCATTGCTATTGATGCATGTTACCAAAGCACTAGTTCCAGTTCCACAGTCTATTCAGGCAGGATTTTGCCTTTGACATTAAACACACGTGGCTCTATTCAGAACACTTGCTACAGTGCTTACGGTAAAGCTGGGGCTTACCGCTGTGCTTACACGCAAGACACAGGCAAGCAATTCATAATTCACAGTGCCTGCTCTCCTGCACTGCCAGATCCCCTTCCTACACTCCCCGGAGGGTGCGTAGGAGTTACAGAAGCAGAGCCCACATTCAAACCACCTGGTATAAATGCATAGTCTGTAGTGCAATACTGAAGCAAACAAACTTCTATCAAACCAGTCTCCATCTTGCCAGACACACTGTATAGAAGTTGTTCTTAAAAGAGCTATCTCCAGAAAAAAGAAAAAAAAAAAAACAACTAATCAACCAACCATCCTTATCTTCTTTAACTCTGGTACCTTCTCATTATAAAATTATAAAATGAGAACACATCTGTTCTTAGAGAATGAAAAAGTTTTTATTAAAAGGAAGAAAGAGGTCAAACAGTTCAACTGTAATCACCAAAACTGCAGGACATATTCAAAGCAAGGATCGCTCTAGCCCAGTACCCTGTGTCCCACAGTGTCCACCAACACCTTAAAAGAGCAAGCCCAGGCCAAGCATACACAACAATTGCCATCATTATCCTCCGAACCTTCAAGTATTTTGAGGTCAGGAGACTATGTAAGACCAAGCTTGTCTGTCTGGCTGCTAACTGCGAACAACTCTGTCTTCCATCTCCATGTGCTCTGCACCCGCATCAGCTTCTGTATCCATGTTCCATAGTAACATCAATGGATTTGTTACCACATGCCGTTAGTTTTGAACCTGACTTCTTCAAGCTTCCTTTGAAAGCCCTTACTTCTTGCACTGTGAATGCTCCATCACCATCCACCCTCCTCATGTCACTCATGACTTCTGTAGACTTTTTGGCAAATCTAATCAAAATAAACAGGCAAGAGACACAGGGTCAGGGTCTCAGCCCCGCTTATCTCTGCTGTAGCCAGGTCCAGTGGTACAGAAGGACCCTTACGCGAGCTGATGAGAATTGCCCTCAGTGAGATTCATAGAGCTCGTATTCCCAAATCCAGACAGTCATCTCACCCCAGGAGGTAGGTCAGAATGGGACTGACTAGCGTATAAAATACAGTACTGAGTGATTTGCAGGGGTTAAAACAACAGTTTAGGCAAATATGAAAGTTAAGTTGGCCCAAAGGATGTAATAAATGTGCTTTTAGCTCCAGAAAACACTTCACTTCCTCTCCCAACGCATTCACCCTGCCCTCTGCTCTGAAATGTAAAGTAACCAAACACCATCAGCATCTTCAGGTGAACAATACAGAAAGTTTGAGAGTACAAAAGAGTCAGTGTATTAGGGTACACACAGCAGAAAAAAAAGCTTATTTTCAGAATTTCATAATCCTAGGAAGAGGTTATGAAGATGGCACCTCAAAACCAAGAACTTTTGGGTTTGGAAACTGAGTAACAGCAGTTATACTTCTTGGTTCCCCCAGTCTTTTGAACCTAAATCAATACATCCCTCTAGGTAAGGAAGGATGCTTCTCGGAGCTCCAGCCATCAAGACATTTTGTGTCCTAAATAGACTCAGGCAGAAAGAAAAAAAAAAGCAGTGAAAATCCCTGGAATCCTCAAATCCAAGCAAATTTACACAATAACACTCTTGTTCACATGGTAATAAAGTCTGAAAGTGCATTTGAGCTTGAATACTTAACAGTTTTCACTTGTTACATTTTTTTCCTTTAATTATATCATTTGCTAGTATGCCTTTACTGCTGTATACAATTTCATTTATTTCAAAAATAGAGAAGTCTTGTAGAAAATGAAGCAATATGTTTACAAAAATAAACACTTTTTAAAAACACAGTTCTTAAAAAAAATGCTAAAAACAGTAATGAAAAATTTGATGAAATGTGATTCCCCACAAAATGGAAAATAATCACAGCAAAATCACAATTATAAATGAAGTTTATACAGCTTAAATAAGGGTCCTGCCCTGAAACGCCCTTTGAAGAAGTCTCTTTCTTCTCTAAACAACATAGGGAGCTCAAGCTCCCCACTTAAGTAGAACGAATACTGAAACGCAGCTCATGAGACTATCCCCTTGTAGATGGGATAGGAACATTTCTCAACATGATCATCAGAACTGAACAGAAACAGAATGAATTGCCTCGGTGGTCTTCCAAACAAGAAACAAAGTGATACATCCTTTCAGTTCTCAGTCCCAGCAGGAGGAGTCAGAACCTGAACTACTGAGTTTGGAGGGAGCTTTGAGAGTAAAGGAGGGAAGTTCACGCTTCCGTACATTCAGGAAACGCCTGGGCTGAAATTGTGACGGGAATGATTTGGAGTTGGTCACAACAGGGCAGATCTGTGCTCTAGTCTGCATCTGTTACTCCAGCAATGAACACGCACTACACAAACTGCTAAGTCCTGGGGACATGTACAGATCTCAGGGAAAAAGTAAAGGATTAATACAGGGCAAACACAAGTGGCTCCATCCTCTTCCTCTCTGTCAAGTGCCAGAGCTCAAATACATGCTGAGAAGTATCTGCTTGACTCTAGGATCCACACTTCAGCCACACAGGCAGCTGTACAGTTTAGGACTGCTGGAACCCACAACCCTGGGGCTGCTCAAAGTACTCCAGAAGCTGTGTTGTTCCGAGCAGACATGATTTCAATGAGATGTGATAAAAGCAAGCTGGGGTAACCTTTTGTATTACTGAAGAAGGTCAGCAAAGAACAGAATAAGACTCCAGGTCCTGTGTGACACTGTAAGCAAAATCAGGCATATTCTGCTTTTTATATTATCCTTGCTGCTCAGGTCCATTAAAACAGTTGAGCAAGGTGCATCCGTGGAAAACGAGGTCCAATCAGTCACAGCTATCACAGCTCCAGATGGGTCAAGTTGTTGCCACAGTCAAGTTGCAAAGAATCTCAGCTGATTTTTGTAGTATCTTCAGATCTTCCAAGCGCAGTGCTTCTACCAAAGCCAGGTGTTTTTTGAGGTTCTCTTTGTTCCTCTTCAACTGAGAAATCTGAAGTTTATACAAATGGGATGAAATGACTAAAAATTTAGATTATTTAATAAAGGACATGAACATAAAATTTGTGGAAAGCTTATCTGTGGTAGGGATTCCATGAACTAGGTCAAAATAGTATTTTTTTTAATCTTGCACAAGAGAAACTGTAATAGTAAAAAAAAAAAGGAGGGGGGGAGAGAAATCATCACGTGGATAGGAAGCACATCAAAAACAAGGAGAGGAAAGGAAGGGAAATGTTTACCTGATATTAGGCTCCTAAGTCCATACTATCCTCAAGATGTTGCTCAAGACAGGATCCACCTCATACTCTGTGTATATACGTGTTTCCTTTGCAAAAGCATGGTTTTAACAATGCTTTTCCATGATAGCTATCCAACTTGACATTAAATATACATTTGTTTGCCAAAATCAGAAAGGAAGGAGAGATTGTTTTTCTAAGAGCACAGACCTGCCTCTCAGGCAACTGGCTGACATGGGTAGTCCATTTGGCTTGACTGGCTTTAATGAACACAGCCTTCACTTTCTGCAACAAGGCACTCATGGCAGGTCTGCAACATCTTACATGCCTACCTCATACACGTCTGCATTTTCTTTTAAGAGGTAACCTCAACAAACACATTGATACTGTAGGCAGAGAAAGGTTAAATACTTTTCACCTGTTTACAGGGCTTTGTATAAGCTTTGTAACATGGTTTCTTTCTTTGCTGCAGCCACAAATTCTGCTGAGCAATCCAGTGCTGTCAGTCACCCTGGAAAGAAATCCCGCACCACCCCAGTGTAGTGAATTCCCTCCATCACTCTGCTGTCACCCCAGAAAATTACACTGCTGTACATTTATGCTAGGAAAGGAATCTAGACTACCCTGTTCTTCCAGTCAAATTACCTGGAGAAGGACATGCTGCGTTTCCTCTATTAAAAAATGGCATATTTTTGCTGTTATATTCAAAGTCTGCTCTTCGTTTCTGGCTGAAATGACATCACCAAGCAGCGTTCTCCTCCAGCAAGTACTAGAACCAAAATGTTTGAACAACACACAATCATTGGCTGTATTCCCCAGCTGAATGATAAACATATGGCTATGCTAAGAATAACGTTGCTGGCATAAGGCAAGTAAGGTTAGCATACATGAAAAACACACACAGCATTCAGATATGAAACTGATAAGCCAAGCAAAAGAGAAGAGAGATTCAATGGTCTGGAGCAGCAGCTCCAATCCTCCACCCCTACCCTTTCAGCCAAAGCCACAGTCTGCACTTAGATCAATGCTTACGGTCTTTACTGCTCTGCCATGCTGCCACCAACTTCAGCAGCACCAGTGAGGAGTAAAAGCTATTCACTAGAACTTATTAGCGTGACTTCTGCTAAACTTCACCTCACCTGGGCTGGAAACCAGTATCATGGGGATTTATTTTTAGCTCTTATAATCAACTTATTCCACTCAGCAATGAATCTTCAAAGCATAAACAGCTTTGAACAAGAGAAAATTTTTTTTTTTTTATTTGCTATTACAAGTAAAGCCCAGGTAAAAACTTTCTATTAATGCTGTTTGAGGCAGATTTACCATTTGGAACAATCAAACCTGCACTGACAGTCACTGGAGATGAATTTCAGCAATTTACTTGGCCTTAGAATTTCAGAAGCAGCCTGTGAAACGCATGCTTCAAAGAAATCAAGCAAGGTCAATAGCATTTAAAGTCCCATCAAACCAACGTCTGGAGTCTGAACCTTAAAGTAATATCTGCTTCTCAAAATAGAAAGGGCAAACAATGGGGTGTGTCTAGTATTTAATACAAGAAAGCAAAAGACCAAAGCAGCAAATAGGCAATGACTTTACATATATGGTGTTCTCTGCCTTTCTTCTTTTCACTTCGCACCTGCAGTCAATGAGATAGGCACAGGAGATCCAAAACAATTGTTCCAGTAGCTCACACACAGCCAGCAAAGAGTAAATAAAGGAAAATGGCACATGGGCATTGTCTAAATATTCAGAGTACTGAAACTTACAACTCATCTGCTCCGAGACTTAATAACTTCAGGGCTGTGAGGAGTCTCCAAGATGGTCCATCCCACCCAAAGGTCAGGTTTCTAAAAAGTCAGAAATAATGAGATGCAGAAAGTATAGGTGATCTTTTATGGTGTGATAGCTTTCTTCCTGACAAGTGTCAACAAGGGAAGATCTGCTTTTTGGAATGAGAGGACTCTTTGACTCCCCTTACTCTGTTGCTATCCACAGACAGGGGACAGGCTGTACCTTGAAACCTATCTTAAGCTTTCATACTGGTGTTTACCACTTCTACATTCTCTCACAAACCACAAGCAAATCAGTTTGCTAAAAAAACAAATAATCATTTTATGCTGAATTTTGATACCAGAAGCAAAATTTGACTCCCAGAAGCGCTGAAAAGAAAGCTCACAGGGAAACAAAAAACTCCAGATACCTACTCTAAGAAATCATGATCCTTTAGAATGGAGAGTTTTGCATTTCTCTGCTTGTCCAGTGGTGGAAAATATTTGAGGAGAGTATCTGCATAAAAAACACAGATGTTTAAATAAATGGTATGTAGAAGAAACCACAATCCTCAATTCTGACATGACACTTCAACCATATTTTTCAAGTAGCTGCAGGACAAAGATCAAAACCTGCCATATTTTGGTGAACTTTAACATAATCAAAAATGTGTCTACTTCTCAAAAGCTTGTAGAATGGAAATCCTGACTCAAAGTGAAGTTATGAACCACTCTCAGCAACTTCAGTTTGTTGGGATCAGGATTTTAGTCCTGAAGTCAATGGTACAATCTAAGACATCCAGTTGGAATCTCTACATACATGGTGCTAAGAATCACAGTTTTACAAAGGGAAAAGTTACCAAAGAACACGTTCCATTTTAAACCTCCAATCCTTACATTCTATGCAGATCAAAGCGGTATTGAACTATATTCCACTTCTTGGAAATACACACAAATATTCTGATGGTACTAAAAACAGATCATAATGTCTTAAGATGCATTCTGCACATTGTGCATTCTACACATATGTATATGCATAAGCATGAACTTCTTCACTATCCTTTAGTTATCCCCTTTTAGCAACATCTCCTGCGAAGACAGACCCTATTAACATGCTCAGATGTTCTGTTCTCTACTATTGTGCCTTTCAATGTCAAGACAATCTATAAATCCAACCTGGTGAGACATAAACACTGCTGTGAGGGTTATCCATGGCAACAAATCCATATTCTAGCAGCAGTCGCTGATTATCATGAGGTCCATAGCAGATAAACACTTCTTCATATTTTTTGCACTGTGAATTTGTCTGAATTTCATAGCTTCTTTTCTGCTCATTAAATGCAGCCTTTACCTTCAAGAAGTTAAAAATAAAAGGTTTTACTCTTGGCAGGAAGACAGGATGAAAAAGGAATCAGATATTGAATATTAAAATCCAACAGTATTGAACACTTCTCAGACACTAGAAGAAAAGAGAGTGTTACAGATGTCTGAAAAGGCAACCCATTCATATGAAGAACAAACATGACTCTGTGGGATGTGCCACCCACTGTGTACACTTATTACAGAGGTCCCAAATCCGCAAATAAAGATGGCTTTAGGCAGAGTTGGTCACTTTTGTGCTGTCTCAACTCTGTGTTGGCACACAGTCCCTGACACAAGGTAGAACTGCTCTATACTCTCTCCTAAGGCTGCTCAGAAGCTTCAGCCAGAGGTGAAGTAACACAGGGACCACGTAACTTGAGATTCATCTCAGGAGCTGAGCCTTTCGGGACAGCAGAGTCGGGTTATATGTACAAGTGGCTCTTCCCAATAGCTAACCTGGCTGCAAATCTCACCCAGCCATTGTGGGATCTCCCTGTAACTTTGCTTTGCTACATAAACTGAAACATCTGAATTATCTTTATGCAACTGCCTTGGGCTGAACAACAAGTTCCAGGGTATGTACGAACCGTGAGTACTCGGCCTGCACATGTCCTCAATAGACGTTTTTTCTTCTGTGAGGTCTCTCACTGACCTCCAGACACCCCTAATCCATCACATAAATGCATAATGTATTGAGATAGTTTCTTTATTTGTAAATGCACTAAGTGATCTATTTTGAGTTTCTTACCTGAACATTTGGACTGTGGTTTAGCAAATCTAAATATGGTGCCAATGCATAAACATCTGGCTCAAGAGAAAAACATTCCCTCTGTGAATGTTTCATGTATATTGTCCTGGTATTAATAGTGCACCAAGCCCACTCTAGAGCACTGTAGTTAAAAATAGTTCCTGTGTTCTCAGCAAACAAAGGCTGCAGGGAAGAGAAAAAAGCCTTGGAAGACACGTACAACTCATGGACCGTCATTCTCTGCTCCTCAGCCTTCTTTCTCAAAGGTTCAGGAAGAAGGCTTACTACATCGTGCTCCAAACAAACAGGGCAAGTGTATGTCTTGGGTAAAACATCAAGATATGGCTTCCACAGAGATGTCTCACCAGCATGCTTCTCTGCTATTAAAAATGTGCACAGTGCTATCAAAGGAGATACAGGAGGCTTCCATCTATTAGAAAATAAAATAAAAATACCAACACAGCATATACACAGAGGTGAAATAGGAAATGGATGCAGTAGTATTTCATCTCTCTCCTAGTTCTTTTAAATGTTATAAATAGCTTCTATTTTAAACTTCTTTGTAGTTCACCTCCAATCCTTTTGATGATTTCAAAGGCGCTATAAAAGCTGGTTTGTAGTAATAACTCCAGGGTCATCTCTTGGGTTGATTTTTCTTTGGGCAGGTTGGGTTTTTTTAGGATACATAACAAGTACTCAATGTCCATCATAGATCTTTGTTCTGAATTTTCTAAAAGGCCATGTTCATGTGACTGCTTGGCAACCCCACTTTATCCTCCTTCTCCTATTGAAACACATTCACAAATTCCCACGAAACCATTCATAACTGGCATTTAGGTCCAAGCTGGCTCTAGAGGAAGGTCAAGTTCAAGCCTGTACCACCCCACCAACTCGGCCTAGCTAAAAGGGGATGCTCTGTGTCCAAACCTTACTTATCTGAGTGTTCCACACACATGAAAGTCCACAAGAAATACTCATACAAGTTAGGGTACGCAGTTTAAAGCCCTACCACCACTTATCATGATTAATCTACTAATGAGCAAGCCACAGTAAAGGCCAGCTTGCCCATAAAGTGTCACTTTTCACTTACTTCATAATGTATTCTCCCAAGCAGCTACTAAGGACAGTGCCCGTGGTGAGTAAGCATTTCTCAGGCAATGAAATAATCAGATCCCCTGCCTTTGAGGAAGGGAAAAAAAAAAAAAAATATCACACACAAAGAATAGTAAAGGTCAAGAGTGAATGATTCATCTGCGATTTCTGAACAGAGACATTGCCCAGAGAACATTAACATCAGGAAGCAATCAGATGTGACGTCAAACTTGATGGAAACTGGCATAGTCTTAAGAGAGCCACAGTCCAGGGAAGGAGGACAACTGCCATCAGTAGGAACTGTCACCTGTAAAAAGTCAGCTGTTCACAGAAAGTTTGGTACCTGGCTACTCGCTTTCTTTGTACTGAGATATATTTTAGATTAGCTCTCACAAATAGCTGAACTTCTATCAACAAAGCAGTAGGGAGTAGGGATATTTTAGGTCATGTCTATCCTGACCTTGTTTGCCAAGCTGCTGTGTGTGTAAATTAGTTTTCATCACTGTCCATGCCGGTAGGGAGAGGACATGAATCAAGTCAATACTCTCCCCTTCCCATTCCTCTTCTGAGTTTCCTTATCTTGCTCAAGCCCAGTTGAGCCTAGCTCTCATTTCACTTACTGCAGACTCCCAGCATTGTTTATAACCTGAGCCTCTGGCTTCAACTGCTGGCTCTAACCCTGAGCAGGCATGACAACATGCACTGTTCTCTATGCATGACCTCTCCGCTCCATCTCCTTCCTACCTCTTCCTATACTCTCTATGTTGCAAAAGGTTCCAGGTCTGATACCCCATTATTTGACATACTATTCTCATACCAGTTAGGAAACTTCTCCAACAAGCCTATTTTCTGAGAGGCATTTTTCAGTCAGAGTTCAGTCTTTCCATGCCAATATCTGAAGGGCAAGGTAGTTTTTCTTTCATTCCACTTTTCAGCTCGGAATGTCTGAGAAATTATCTTTCTATTAGCTGGTCTACCAACAAAGAAGGCGGCCATCAAAGTGAGGTTAAAGCTCTAGTTTCACATTATGGCTAAGACAATCTAAAGCCAAACGCTGCTTAAAGCCCCGTCCCTTTCCTTAATTTCCCTCCCAGGTATGCCATTCCTCCCTTTGTACCAGCACTGGTCTGACCAAGGTGGGAGATTTCAAGGAGCAAAGCTATCAAAGCTAATAATCTTTTTGAAGAGAGAGTTTTCTGTTAGTTCAGCTTCCTGATGCAACCTACCCCATGAGTGGAGAAGACTGCTACAGCCACTGCAAAGGAAGCTGTGGGAGCCAGTGGCTGAGGGAGGGGCCTGCTCCTTCTGGTTTCAGTTAGCCACTGATTACCTTAAACTGAAACAGGAGACTACACACTAAATCTCTGTAAATGAGTACACGAATGTCTTTATCCAACAAGCCCTCAGGGTACACAGGACATTATCTTACAGATATGCCAACACCACAAATTCTGGTATTAGGCCAGAAATTACATTCACAATGTGGACTGTGAAGACCTTGTCTGGAATTTTGAGCTTTGCTTGTTGCAAAAGTCATTACATTTCAAAAGAACCTGAGGAGCTCTTGCATTAGAATCAACATTACTAACCTGGAGAGCTTTTGTTGTCATCAGTCCTCTTCCTGTACCTGAAGCAGGAACAAAGGGGATGCTTAAATACATGTATATATATAAAATACAGCAGATTGCGGTAACTTGCATTAAACTAACAGGCCAGCAACAAAAAGCTCTAAAAGAACATACATTATCTCTTACAAATCATAACAACCAGTTATGGATTGTTCCAGATACACACCTCATTTCTTTGTTCTCCGATTCTCTTTTTACTTTTGAGGACCCTGTGAAAGCCCTTCCTCTGCGTTCCCTGCAACACTTGCTGTTCAGTTCTAGCAATTATTCAACTTCTTTTTCCCAGTTTTTTCTCTAAACACATCTTTCATCACTGGCTGCTGTTCTTGGTTTCAGAATTTTAACTAAACTTTACAATTTCTATTCACAATAGTTTTCTCCGATTCAGCCTATTCTCTCTACTCTCTCTTTAACATTGCAAAAGTTTTTGAAATATAATCTACTTAAAGATAAAAAATACAAGTATATACCTTTACTGTAAACAGTACTAAGTGAATCCCAGCTCTAAAGATCATTTACTTATCTGTATCACTAGATCTGCTGAACTTGCATGAGGAAAAAAAGATGAAGAAATGATAACAAGGTTAGGTTCCAATAGTGGAAATGCTTAAAGAGATATTACTTTCTTCTTTAAAACTGTGCTACTAACACTCAAAATCTCAGTTTCTACAAGGAATTCAGCATAGGTGTGCATGTTTTGCAGCATACCACAGTATTCTCATATGAGAGCTTTACACGAGATCATCTTTATAAAAGAAACAGTTCGCACTACTTCAGGTCTCCATATCTACTTGTTTATGTTAAATGACACTCACATGCATCTGCTAAAAGTCCTTAAAAGACTAACAGTAACTGTCTTTTTTCCTGATGCCAGCCAGGCGTGTGATTCAAATTGAAAGCAGGAATCTAACATTCTTAGAAAACTCAGAAATTTGTACCACCAATAATTAAAACATTACCGCAGAACTCTGCTGGCCTTAAATTACTGTCTTCAAATCCTCTGTCTTTCAGCCACTTCTTAAGTTTAATGTATTCCAGCTTGTGACTGCAGTTGACTAAAAATAAAAAAGAGGAGATTCATGCTATAAAATAGCACTCTATTGGAAAATAAAGGAAATTGAAAAATTTTACTGTATAGTCAGAAAAAAAATATATTTTGGACATTTCAGTATAGCATAATAGAATAGCAAGACAGGCTCCCCTCGAACTAGCTTACTGAGCTCCAGGCCTCTGGGCACCAGGAGCTCTCAGAACTGCAGGAGTCATTCAGCATATTCAAGGGTCAAGGAAATTAAGAATAATGTAGTACTTGTCATTAGCCAGAAAAGACAGCTCACAATATTCACCATGATCTGCTTGGGATTGTAAACTAATGCTAGAATATTTGCATTAAAAAAGCTAACATTTATGAATGTTATTTGCAAAGCACAAAGGTGGTCAACAAATATACACCATAAATTGACACCTTGACAAACAATTGGTTATTTTATTATTTAGCAGTACTTCCAGGGATAGTACCTCCATCCATAAAACTCTGCAAGTGTTTTCTTCTTCTCTTTCGGCCTGTCCGACCTCTGCTTTTCTTCATATTAAGTAACAGATTTTGCCTTATTTAGACAACCTGAAGTAAAAAAAAAAAGTTACTTAAAAATATTTAAAGTCCCTTTCAAATACTGCATGTTTCTTTTATCTCAGTAAGAGAAATCAGAGTACTGTCTGTTTAACAGGCTGCCTCTTTAAAGTTTAGAAAAGGTACTACAAGCAAACCCCTCAGCTGGTGGGTGATAGGGATGAGGGAAGATGGGAAGCCTTTATCTCCAAACGTCATCTTGGCTAAGGCATGGCCATAATCCTCTAAAGGCAACAAGACACTGGTGTTCATGTGCACAGAACTGAAATTTTGAAACAGCAAATGTATTACTGTCCTGGTTTGGCTAAAACAGG